CAAAACCTTCTAGAAGACCGTCAGACGCCTCTTAGCACCACTTGGATTTGGAGTCGCACACAAGCTGGAGGCAACCATAAGACGTAAGATAATTAAACCAAAAGACCCACTGCTACGGCAAGGAACATCGGGAGTCGTCTATAGGATTTATTGCAGTTGCGGACAAAGCAACTTCGTCGACGAAACTGGAATACTTTCCAAAAAGCAAATTGTCGAACACGCGGCAGCACTGCGAAGAAATTACGCCAATTCCTAAGTTGCGGCTCATTCGACGAGGCCCGGCCACACATTCAAATGTGATGGGGCCGAACTTCTCGCGACAGGTGACGGTAGTGTGGGCCGTGAGTTGCTTTAGTCATGGTTTACGGGTTCCGAGCCTAAAAACAAGTGAAACGACCTGTCCAAGCCATTTTTGGTGCCGAAAACAATTCGCCCCTGGGTGAATGCGTCTTCCAACACCAGCGCCAGGCAACCAGAGAGCCGGTCAAGCAGCATGCCAAAGTCCAGCACGCGCGATAAAGGTTCAGCAGGTCACGATCCACACGGTGACCATTAATCAATTCGCGCCCAAGCGGCTAACTATTCTCAATAGGGGGAGCCATTAATTGTCATAGGTATGCAGTAACACAGCGACCGTATCCTATAAATGCTGCAACTCCCTGTGCATGAATTACGCGTTTCTGCAATTGTCTCTGATGTTGAGTCCGCGAGGGAATCCGAGACATCAGATAAATAATATGATTGTCCCAGTGATTGTATCTGCTTCTTCTCAATTTCTGCTTGGGACTCGCATTTCTACTTCTATTGACAAAGACCATTTTGCGCTTATGCTTTAAGTTTAGTAATGGGGATTTCATAATTTCGACACCACACTTGAAGTTTCTCCCAGCGGGTTTTTGTGAATGGACGGTTGTTTGGCGAGGGTGCTGTAAAATTCTGAAAGAGCAACAGACGCGTTTTGGTATGATAAATTTAATTGTATCCAAGTTTTTTCGGAGATGAATCACAAAGTTGGATCGACTCACTTTTCATAATTAATTTCCGATTCTAGTATATACAACCCAAGGGATTGAAATATTTTCACAGTTTCGAAAAGTCTGACTTAAAATTGAATATGTCAACCCAGGGAAGAGAATTATTTATGAGACATTAATGTATAGTGTCCGAAAACCGTATCAAGTCATGTCAGAAGAGGACAAGTGGATAAACGTCACATCCAACAGACGCAGCTGGTGGTTGTGCAGCGAGATACAAAATGATAAGTACAGAAAAACGTTTGGGTTAGAACGAGGAAATAAGATAAGGATGCGGCCGCTTGAGGTAGCTCGGCACCAGATAATTAGTCCCATTATTTCAGTACTGAAAATTGCTTACAGCATTTACAGCTGGTCCCGGCTACAGCAGAAGGCGTTTGTACAGGCACGAAGGTTCCCGTGATCGAAGATCAATTCAACATGCGTCGACACGCTTCCTACCACGTCGCGAGACGGAGACGAGACAGCGATTAAATGCATCTCCACGCTGCCCACTCCGTCGCGAGACCGTGAAACCTTGCGTCCCGACACCGCCCAACAAGACGCGGGACAGGAACGACGAGGCGACATGAACTAATTGTCGGAGCTATGTAAGATGAGGACTACGCGGCGTTTCGAGCATAAGGCGTTCGTAATGCTGGTGGGCAAGCAGAAATGAAATTCGATAGCACACATACACACACCTCTCACGAGGACGTGCTGTGAGTCGCGAGCCAAATAGCAACTATAAACTCACGTTCATTAGACCGTGCGTGGTGGGGGAGGTCGAATTTGCCGAACTTCTCCGTGACGTCAGAAACCTCCTCCGCC